AAGAGCGGTGAACCTCCATTCGCGAGGCGCGCGCGCGCGTCCAGGCCACTCCGGTTTTTGCCCGCCGAACTTGTTAAAAGAGCACGCGAGCTACCGAGGGACCAGAGACGACCGATGACTTTTTCGCGCGGTAGATCGTGATACATTCAAGACATACAGCGATTGCCCACGAACAAACATGTCTGTTACATGAGCCGGTGCGCTGCAGCTTTTGTATACGTGCTGTTATACTGTTCTTGTTAACTATCTCACTGTTTGAACAAAAATCAACTGTCTATTACTATTTGCTTTCAGGGGAAAAGTTGTTTATTTCCTAACTTAAAAGGCATGATGATGATTACAAGAATTTTAGTTTATTTAGTGATAGCTAGTTTCTATCAGTGTACATTGTCACATCATTTGAGGCACCATAATAATGCCGGTAATCTACAAATATTATCAGACATATCCGAAGATATTGCCTCACAGAAAAATAGGAGAAGTGTAGAGCCTGAATATTATAACAGAAATAGTTCAGATTCTGATAAAGACAAGATTCCATATAGTTATAAGAAGTTGGACAAGATGATGAAGAAAGCTATTCTCCAGATTATTCTTGGCGATTTGCATCCAGCCGATATGCTGCTCCTAAAAGCGTTAAATTATACAATGGAGGAGGTAATGGCAATTCGCGAGCATGAGTTGAGTAAGGCGAAGGAAGAAGAACAATTTGAGACGCGAAAGAAGAAACAAAAGGAGCAAGAGCTATTGAGTGCCAAATACCAGACTGCGATTCATCACAGGTCATCTCTGCATCAACGCAAGAAAACGAATCGAGAAAGCAACTTTGAAACTTATAACAGTCAAGCAGTATATGATTATGAAAATGGACCTACAGCAATAGCGACGTCATCTTCAAAGTTGGATTACGAGGAGTCTATGGTTACGAATGATAAGAATAAGGTCAGTTCTATAACAGAAGAGAGTTTCAGGCAAAACTTCGATAGAGCCATGGAGCCACACGTGGTCTTTAAGATAAGATACGACGATTCGGAATTCGATTCAGGATCTGATGAAAAGTCTAGGATAACTTTAAAAAATCATCGGGTTAAAACAATTTTAAAAATTGATAAAGCTAAATCTGGTGCAATGAACTTTCGAATTTCTGAAACTAATAATGAATGTACGAGTACTGCTGATACTGCCGCCTCCGCTGCTGCTGCCGCCGCAACTGTTGTTTTAGATACAAATTATGAATTGGACGGGTCAGTCGGGTCAAGCAAACATTTCGAAGACTATAGTAGACAAACCATTTTCGATTATGAAAATCTTGTACACAATGAGAAATTGAACGGAGATGAAGGTGCAAATGATATCAAAGATCGCCCAGTAGTGATGAAAAAGAGAGAAAGAGATTTCGTTAGCCATGAAAAATCGAAAACAACACTAAATAGCTCAAGGCTAGAGTATATGGAACAACGCAATGAATCTGCAACCACTGTGAATAGCATCAAAAACGAAAAAAGTGAAGGAGAAAAAGCAACAACAGTTAGGATGCGGACTAGCGAGTACGAGGGTCTCGAATGGGTTGGGGGTGACGTTTACAGGGTCATGCCCGAAGCAATGGAAGCACTTTTAAATTATGAGGACGAAGCAGCTATGAGTACTGCTACTACGGATTACGAAATCAGGGGGGGTGATGAGGAAAATTTACGACAAACTTCGTATTTATCGTTGAGTGATCTCATGAATGATACCTTCGAGTATCAAAATGATGAATCATCGATTTATGCATCCAATGAAACTTCTGCAGAAAATCAGAATCTAACATCCTATCATCGATTAACCCTGGCTCAACGGCGAGAGTAAGTTTTTCAAATTCTGATCTATTATTTATAAAAACTACAATATCGATGGATTTATTAAACCACACATACTTAATATTTTATTATTGATAATACAATAAATGGAATCTTTATCTTAGAAGAATAATTAATATTTTATATATGATAATTTGAAAATTTTCTTTCAAATCGTATAACAATTATATGCATTTTGATTGGTTTAATAATTAGATTCCTTCTTTTAAATAAAAGATTTGTTTTGTATTATAATTAAATTTTTTGACACATCTCAAACAGTAAAACATTTACATATGCCAAACTTATTTATTCTAAGGTATTTTAATATTATTCAAATAGGTACAAACAATATTCTATTTTCGTAAATAATACTTATAATATATATACATATAAAATTTTTACTTTATCTCGAAGCTTTATATACAAATAGTAATTTAGTAATATAGGTATATTTTTATAAGATAATGGTATATTGTTGATATTTAAAAAAAATTTCTTTAATTATGTATGCAAATAAGAATGAAATAATTATTCTGCTTTTGTATTTTAGCGGAAACTTGACTACAACATTTGATAGGTAAGAGAAATGGAAAACAAAAATTATAAAAGGTGTTGATTTTAATATATTATCATTAACCTCGTATTTTCTAGACAATGTGCTGTTGATAATAATAACAAATTAAACGTAAAAATAATGTCATTAACTCATGCATCTTTAACAATATAAAAAGCCTAAATCAAACATTGAAATTAAACTAAAATAGCTTTAACTAATATTCTACACAATTTAACTTCAATTTCTAATAATTAGTTAGATTTCAGAATTTTTTAAATTAATTTAAATATTGTCTTTTTATGGCATAACAAAAAGTAATGTATATAATATATAAATTACAAAAAATTAAATTAATTTTATAAAAGAAACAAATTTTAATTAAAAAAATTTTTAAAGATATATATCATTTATATTAATTTGATTGATATATTATATCTGATTGATAATATATCTGATATATATCAATATATAATATATCTGATTGACAAACATTTTAACAAAATTTCACTTTTATGTACTTTCAATTAAGCAATAATAATTTTATATTTGAAAAAAATTAAATATTTGTTAATTTTAACAAACTCCATCATTCGTAGGTTATTAGACATGTATAGAAAATTTAATTTTTTAAAAATGTTTATGATAAACTACATTCATTGGTTTTTACTTTATACACGTAATGTAAATAAATGATGCAACAGTCAAGATGGTAAATTTTATTATTAGAAATAGAACAAAAACATAACAATATGACCTATCTATTAAATAGTGACTCGTATATCTTCAAAAAATTCATATCTGAGAAACATAGTGTTTTAATCTGAAATTTTATTTACACGGTGCGTCACGCGCCGCCTCATAAAAATATCTTGTGGCTTTCATCGGTAGGTAACGCGCGACAAAAATCTAATTTATGTTTTTCTCATCTTTTCTCGGCGCCCAAATGTTATTACAACCGCACACATAACCAAATCGTATGGCGGCTTTCCGGCAAACGGCGACGCGCCGCACTAACTGCTAAATTTAGGAGGAAGCGCGAGGTTAGAACACGCGGAGATATAGCGGTAAGAGTTAAAGAGAAATTTTCCAAAAATTCTACGCAAGCTTTGACCTATACTAGAAAGTAAATAAATCTCGAGAGTAAAAATAACAAATTCAAAATGTCATAAAAAACACTTGTCGAAACTGTATCGTATTAATAGATTGGGATGAACATGATTTACGATTTGTTGATAACACATCTGCTGAATTATATTTAAAATCGTATGCTATGCGATTACTATTTATACTATAGACAAAAAAAAATTTGTCCATAAAAAAAATGAAATTTCTCTGTTCTTTACAACATTTATATAAAATTAAAACATTTTACATATCGCCTACTTAAATATCCACAATCGGTCAGTTTTAGCATTATACCGTTTAAATATTCGATTAAAAATCATCTTCCAAATTTATTAACTTAATATCATTGAGATATAATTAATTACAACTATATTTAATAATAAAAATCATGATCAATTATTTCAATATGCATTCTGAAAAATGATAATGATATGAAGTGAAACAGTGAAAATTGTAATATTTATATTAGGTTCTTTATTTTAAACGATGCTTGACCTTTTCTACTCATGCAATGCATGTGCTTAAATTTCATGCGCTGACCTTGCAAAGTCACATCTAGTTCAATTCATTTAACAGTTTATTACGAGCTACCGATTAGGATGTTTCTAAATCTCACGTGTGCTCTATTATAATACAGAATCGTATAGTAATTTAAAGTAAATAAACTCAATAAAGAACTTGGCAAATGCAATTCCTTATCAACATCTACATGAATTTTGTCTTTTAACCATTTTATTTCCTTATAACTATGGTGATATGTATAGAATTATAAATTATAGCCAAAAATTTAATTAAAAATTCGTAATTTTATTCGTATAGTCCAAAACAATTTGAAGCATTTTAATAATTACATTGTGTCCTTTTATAAAATTAAATAAAAACTTTTAAAAATAATTTATATATCTTAAAAATATTTTATATGAAAACTTTTTAATATAATAATAGATTTAATTTATACAGTATAATATTTTATAGTAATAATATGTTTACAATAGTAGCGATTGATAACTGTAATTCTTAAGAATACGATACTTTATTTGCTTCGAATTCATAATTAAATCTCAAAATTGAATGTGCTTATCTTAAATATATATATATATGTATATATATAATCGGAAATTAATTTTATAAATTTTAATAAAATATTTATTTATTTCAATAGATTTAAAAAATCATTTATATTTTTTATGTATATATTTAATATTTCTAAATTTATAATAAATAAGAGTTTTCATTTCATTAAGAAAATATAAAATAAAAATTAAATATTCATTATTTCTTGATTTACCAAATATTGTTAATGTTAATAATTATAATAATTCTTTTATAGCACATATTTTAATGAAACATGTTTGACAAAAAGTTGTATAGATTTTTACTATCGCGATATCAATTTTCAAAAAATAAGCAATAAAAGATTTCTTTTTTTCCATTTATTTTGACTATCTTCCAAATGACAACGAACAATTAGTCGCTCCAATGAAAGTACGTTGGTAGAAGAAATAATCAAATATAATGAACACCAAATTGCAAAGGGGCAATTCAAATGATCATGCACGCGTATGTAAATACAATTGTTGAACGTAATCTCATAGATGGTAAAGTGTGCTTACGTCCGTCACGTGTTCCGCGCGCCTCACCATTTTTTATTATTATTAATATTATTTATTTTTTTTTTATTAACTCGCGCTTATGGAGCTTGTTAGTCTCAGGTTTTCCAGACGGCAAGCAGACGAGGCACGTATGCTTCGAGACGTCGTAAAACGCGTGACTTGGACGCCGCCAGATTAACGTGCATGCCATGAGAAACGTCGTAAAGTCTCTCGAAAAAAATGTCTCTCTATACCTCCTCTCTCTCTCTCTCTCTCTCTCTCAGTTTCTACATATCTCACTTTTTCTCGTTTTTCTTCATCTACATCTCTTCTTCTATCGTCTTCTCCAATTGTTTCTTCTTTTTCACGATCTCCTTTTGTGTCTCTTTCTACACAATATATATCTCTTTCTACCTGTCAATCTTCTTTTCCACACTTGTTTCATTTATCCTACGTCTTTTTTTTCTACGTTGAAAGAGACATAGAAAAAAGTAAACAAGTGGAAAGGAATATGGGTTTACTCTTAGCTTTTTAATTTTGTAGTTTTTCTTTCCTCATCCTCGTATTCTCTGATGTTTATTTGCATACAAAAAAATTTTTAAGAAATGCAGAAGAATATAAGGGATTCCTTTTCTACTCATTACACTTTCTTATTTATATTTTTTAGTTTTAATATATTACTTATTTGTTTCAGCAATAAAATAATAGAACTATTGGTAATAATTAATTCCTATATATATATATATATATATATATATATATATATATATATATATATATATAAGTATGAAATTTTTTAAATTATTTTTTATTATTATTTTGTTTCTATGTTCTTGTTTGTATGTAATACAATACATGAATACAATATAAATTATAAAAAAATGAACTTTCTCTTTTTTAAAATTATTATTATTTCTAGTATTAAATTTCACATTCTTTGCATAGTCTCTTCTAAATCTATTTACAATACTTGATTCATGTAGAATAAAATAATAACTACGATTACAACATAAACATTTTTTCCAAAGCCTTGTTTTTAAGCTAAACTTCCTATTAATTATATTTTCCGAAGATCCAAGTATTCTAACGCAAACTATCTATTGTATTCACATGAAAATTAAAATGGTAATTGTATTTCTATTGTTGTTATTTAACGTTCATAATCTTACTCCATTGCATTTGTTTTATTCTTTCTCTTTACCTTCTATCTTCCACCATTAACTATATACATATACCCGCAGGGTTTTTTCATCTACTTATGTATACGCCTATACGTGATAATCTTTTCTTTCCCTGTTGTTTTTGTTATTTTCTACAATCATACTATTACTGAGAGATTAATATAATACAAAAATTCTTCCGTAAATTATTGCGTATATCGCTCGAGTGACTTAGTTGCTACTGACATTGTTAATATTCGTAAACGTACCCACGCATATAAATAAAGTAGCATAAGGTGGAGCAAAGTGTAAAGAAGCCAAAATAAAATTCAAGCATTTGACTCGTCAGTTTCCATCGTTAGCGTTGAAATCTCCATGATCTTCTTTATTTCCTGGCTTTCTTACATGTTTATTTTAATGTGAATCTCTTACGTGTCGGCATTGATGAAAGTTAAAATTAACTCTAAATCTAAAAATATTAAATTTGGAATTTATACTAGATAGTATTTTTGTAAAATATATCAATCAAATTTGTAAATCTAGATTTATGTAAAGAAAAAGTATAAAATCATAAAATTTGTAAACAATTATTTTTCTTTTTAGTTTAAATTAAAAGGAAAATTCAATATTTTACCAATAATCATTTTACTAATAAATCCGTTATTAAAATAGAAGTTGTTATAAAAAGTAAGAAATGAACAATGGAGCTTTTTACTATAAGGAATAATCACGGTTAGGAGAGTTTATTTTTATTCTTCGTTATATTTTTTTTATTCTATAATTAGAATTTAAATCTATAAGTAATTTATTCTTTAATTCGATTTTTTAACTATTATAATATCAGAGATTAGTATTAATATTATCAAAATTATATTTGCAATTTATTTTATGATTAATAAATAGATTTTGGAATTCTACAATACGATTTCAATTGAACGATCATAATGCGAATTAATATCATAATATATTGGGATAAGCTTCAATCAGAAGAGCCGCAATGCCTCATGCATCACTTTTTAATAAGTTTAAGCAATAATTAAAAACAAATAATGGTCTATTGCTAAGAAGACAATTTAAAATTTCGACCTCTAAGATTTCCAAAAAAACTGTTCTACGCCAAAACGATTTCTTCGTGTCTCCGTCGTGCAGGACAAGGATTTGGACGGGGAGACGGTCAACGGTCGCGAGATGAGATTCCAGTGAGTGGTAGTGGAGGGAAATCGGAGACTCAAGGAAGAGTAAAAAGATCGGGATTTACGCGCAGCGCGAGAAAGAATGAGAGAGTGAGACAGGGAGAGAGAGAGAGAGAGAGAAGGCACGCCGACACTCGCCTCGTCTCTCTCAGTCTAGTCGGCGTCTAGCCGACGACGGATGATTAATGCAAAGTGCCCCGACGCGCAACAGGTACCATATACACATTATATGGCAGCTGGCGTGCATATCTTTGTAAAATGAAATTTCTTTTAAGCTTATATAACTTATTTATGCGAAAGAATATGTGCACTTTTAAATTTGATGAAAAATTATTAATACATTAATAACCAGATATATTTAGCATGTGCCCTTCCTCTTCGTTCTCTTCACTTGTCCAACTGAATAATAAAGACAAATATATTCTCAAACTTGCTTCAAATTTAATCCATTGTTTGTTCATTAGCAGTTGTATGGGGAAAATATTTTAGATAGATTATGGTTTAAAAATTTCATTGAGTATTATTCGTTTTTTCGATACTTTGGAATTACTAAATGTTAAGCTGATAGCTCGCGATATTTACAATTCTCGAGAATACTTAGTCTAAATTAGAATTAGAAAATTAGTCTAAATAATTTTATGACTTTTTATTAGATTCCTTTTTTTTGGTTTTATAGTATGATGCTTCACTGTGATGAAAGTTAATTAAATTATTTAATGCAATGAATAATTCAGAAAAATAAATTATTAAAGAAACTGTTGTTAAATTTACGTATTTTATACTAATTTACGTGTGTGTGTGTGTGTGTGTGTGTGTGCGTGTGTGTGTGTGTGTGGTGCGCGTGCACGCGTGGGTATAACTCTATTAACTTTCGTGTGCGATTAATATGATAGATTAATTCGAATTAATCTATTAAAATAAAGATAATAAAATTATAGTATTGATAAATGCATTTTACTTTCAGTCAAGGGCAAAAAGCGATCGAGGACATTAAATTACGAGTATTAGCCATGACAGGAAGGTTTAATCTCACTTCGAGCAATAACCAAGTACAGCGAGAGAGACTTACAATGTTCTCTCCTGTTTGTAAGTAATATCAATTTACATCCACTGAATTATGATTTCTTATTTTTAAAAACTGAATTTGAGTCAATCTTATTTCTTTCAATTACATGTTAAATAACTAATATCAATAACTATGCACTAGTTTATAACTGTTTATACAAAGTATAAATTAATGCAGAAGATGACACTTAATTAGCACTACAAATTTAGAATTATTAATAAGTCGCATTTATTGCTTATATTATTTCCTTATTTTTATAGGTCAAATGCCTCGAAATGCCGATGCAGAAGCTTGGGTCGATCCGTTCTCTATGAACATGCACTTCCAGTTGAATCTAACTTCCGGTGAGCACGTGTTAGCCGCGAAATTGAGACTATTCAAGTTGCCTCAAGATACTTTCACATTGCCAAGTAGTAGTACTTACGAAGAAGAGGAAGAGGACGAGAAGAAAATTAGAGTATCGGTTTACTTCTACACGAAATCGTTGAAAAAGCACAGAGGTAATTATCGAATTAGCCTTTAACAACGGCTATTAAATATGTTGAATATTAAAGCACCATAAAATCAGCGCTTGTTCACATTATTTAATATTTGCATTTTACATATATAAGACCATATAATGTAAACTAATTTAAAAATCGACAAGAACGATGGTTATTTATAGTGTTCAATATAAAATAAATTTAAGTTAAATTACAAAACTCGATATACATTAAAAAAAAAAAAAATTATCAATTCAGTATTAGAATTAACCGGATTTTTCTAGTAAATAATAAGAAGGGAATATTTAAATGCAATTTCTTAAATAGTTTAGAGAATTACTAAGTACCACATAATAAATCTTTGAATTTTAAAGTTTAAATATTTTATTCATAATAGTAATATCGGAAACATTGTCAATTTAATTAGAAATTGTCAACGTAGATGCTATGTAGAGCTAATATAATATATAATATATATATATATATATATATATAGATCATATGATATAATATAAATTATATGATCAAATGTGATGACATACATTATATTATATATTCTATACATTATATGGTCTTATACCACTATTATTAAACCTATCATTTAGGAATTACTCAAAATATGGAATATCAATATTGTTGATACCTTCATAAATTTGCTTCATGTTTAGTATGAAATATGAAATAATTACTTTTTTTTAACACAAATGGTATATAAAAAATACAAAACCATAATATGCCTACTTTACGCAATGTACTAGGTACTTTTATACGAATAATTGACGGCATGGAGAATAATAATTTTAGTCACGTGTCGGAAAATGGATAATTGCTGCATAAATATCAAACCTTTACGGCAATAAGTGTTCCAACCCTAATCATAAGTAAAGAAAAAGAGGAATTTCAAATAGCAAATACATTACAATTGATAGAAAAAAGTCATCATTTGTGAATGTAAATTTGTAAATTTAGTAAGAAAAATGTCATATTTACAATACTTTATTTCCATTTAAATAGCGAAAAAGCGGCTGATGGATTCCATTGTGACGCCGTTGACATCTCAGGGCAGTCACTTAGCTCTGGATGTGCGGCAAGGGTTACGTTTCTGGAGGCCAAACGCTCAACACGGCCACACCAGCAACAGCAACCACGGCCTCGTCGTACAACTCGAGGATCAGGACGGCAGGCCACTTAAACCCGCTATGTATATTCAAGAGCCCTCGTGTCAATCTTCGAGTGCCGATTCCGAAACCGATGAGAAGGCATGTGAGTGTGTGCTCTAACAATACTAACTCAGCTCGGTTTTACTGTTTCTGCTTGTGAGCTGGTTTTTGGCTGGCTTTTAAGCTTTTTCACTTGCATTCTTGTACTCCAACAGCGCTCTTTGTAGATTATTTTTTTAGAAAATAAACACAATTGAAGGCTTTAAGATGAATTGGATAAAATCACTCATTAATCCGCGGCTCATGATAAATATATAAAATTACGTATACTTGAAATATTAATATATTGTTATTTTAAGTACTCTTGATTCAAACTGTTAATTTATCGAGCAATTCTCATAGTCTCACCATTCTATGGCATTTTGGAAGTTTTAATATATTTTATGATTAGAAATAAATTTGAATACTATTATAATATTATAATAATATTATAATATTATAATATTATAATATTATAAACGATAAAAAAAGATTAATAATTTTGTCTATATCATGATGTACATATTGGAAAAGGTTTTAAAAAATGGTAAATTCTCTATTAATATAATAATAACTTTCGAGACAACTAATAAATAAAAATTTTATATTTTGTGAAGCGACTATGCATAAAAATTTATATAAAAATTTCATTATCAAATTATTAAAATGCATATATTGTTTGACTTCTTAAATACGATGAATAAATTAATATATATGAGATGAATACAAAGTAGATTGTATGTCCTATTTTTAATAAAAATGATTTAATTACATTAATATAATTAATTACTTCAACTAATAATTTACTATAGAACAGTATTACAATATTACTATAGAACCTTTCATTATCGATATTTTTTTATCAATATATACTCGATTATATTACATTTTCGATAGTATAATATTATTGTACTAGGTATAGCTAATAATAAGGGAAAATATAATATTATTAAGTAAAGTATTGATTAAATAATATAAATAAAACATAATATAATGGAGTATGTATTGATGAAAAAATACCGAAATCTTTATTGAACTACCATAACGGAATAAATTATTCTGATTAATTTATTGCAACTTGAAAAATATCCTTGATATTTTGTTAATATATTCTATTTGATCAATGATTTAGTTGATTCCAAAGTTAAGTAAAAATAAATCATAAAATATCAGAATATATTTTAGAATCATATGATTTTAAATGTAAAATAAAAAATCTTGCACAAACAATATTATATTTTTATATTATTTTAATTATGCAATTAAATTTGACATTATAATTTTATCTTTTCAGAATTTATAGCTTGTATATAAATGAATGAGGATATATATATGAATATGAATGATTATATAGAAATAAAGCTATTGATAAATACAATGCTATATTTATAAATATAATGAAAAACAAAGAATTCATGACGCACATTAAATTTTTTTGTAATAACCAATGGGAAGCGCAAGGCGGTAGTAAGAGTCGAGTACGACACTAGCGGTAACACGATATATCGCGAAGTATTGCGAATGTCCACGTTTTGGTTGCGCTTTCATAAGCTCGCAAAGTCATCGTATTTTCACATGCTAGAAGTGCAGTTGGTTTCATCGTTTCACTCAAAATAAAATGAATATATCGTAATTTTAAATCGTTTATTTTATGTTTACCTTGCTCACCTTGCTTAAGAATATGAAATTTATTACATGCATAAAATATTCAACTTAACAATTACATGTATTTTACGTATAAGAGTTTCATAATTATAATAAATATTCAAAAAACATTCGGTCATAAATTTGTTATTTGTATTCGATTTTTTATCAAACTGAAGATGTATCCGAATTTTTTAAACATATTATCTATTTATTTTAGTATGGAAAAGAAAACATAAAAAATTATTATATAAACGTATAAATGTAATTATTCATAATTTAATTCTTGAAATAATTTCTGTGCTAAGTGAATTAAAAAATATACTTTACAATTTAAAGAACATATTCTCCTATCATATATTAACTGCATGAGCATTTATAATATTAATAGTTATATTTGAAAATAATATACATATTCATATTTTGGGTATTCTTTATTAATTTATTCGACTGAATAATTATTATTCTTTTGTATTACAGACCAGCACATCCCTGCCCTTTTCATCCGAGCCTGTACTCGTTACGTTCGCATCTTAAATGGCAAAGTCGAAATGTATGTTCAATGTAGACCATCCCAGAGGCACTAATATCCCATCGTAATATCTACTTTCGAGCGAAATACTGTCTAAAAAATGTTAAAAATTTCTTTAGGAACTTCATACATGAAATTATCATTTACGAAGAAATCAAATTGGAAAGAATTAAATGTAATTTATAATATTTATAACGCGATATTTACAGTAAGTTCCATAGACCTAAAGTATATAACATAAAAACTAAAAAATTTGTTTAAAATTATATCATTAACAATGTTTTATTTTTAGTGGACTTATTGTTAAATCAGTGATAATTTTATTTACATGTAAAATTTAACAGTAACTTTAAAAAATTATGCTTAAATCAAACTATACACTATATTATATAAAAACGATAACAAATAATTTCGTTAATTATAGAGACAATATTTTTATATCTTTTTGAAGAATTTTTTAACTCTTTTGATTACATCTATAATTTTTAATTAAGCAAGCGAAAAATTCAATTAATAGTGTTAAGTTTAAACTTAGATGCTTAAAAATGATATCTAAATTATTCTGTGTGGAAGTGAAAAAGTAAATAAACAATATGAAAATATCGAATATCGAATTACCGTTAAGAAATAAAAGCAAAAAATATGTGATAAGATTCTATTCATCGAATTAAGTTCTAATCCATTACAATAATGTTCTATTCCGATCAATTTTCAAGTGCTTTTATTATGAAAATTTCAATTATTTGTATTCACAAATTTTAATGATATTCATTTTTAATACCATTTTTCTTTTAAAGTTTTTGTTTAAACTTATATTCAAATATAATTAGTATTTTATTTTATTTTAACCTATATTTTAACCTTATCCAAACAAAACAAAAGTATTTTATATATTTTAGAATTTTAATTTATTTATTATTTTATTTACAAATTTTTTAAAGAAAAGAATACAAGAATATCAAATATAAAAATATTAATAATTGAATATAAAAATATTATAATTTTATTTCAGTAGGGTACTTGATTTAATTTCATCAAACAAAAAAGTTAAAAACAAGGAATCATCCCGGTTTTAATATTAAGACGCGGTAAGTCACTTAAACTGAGAAGTATATACAGCGACTTCACCTGTTGCATTTACGGAGACTGTTTTGTATTCTAATAAATCGTAGATTTAAGATATGCTATACAGATATACACACACGCTTACACTTCCTTACGTACCCACACACACATACGCGCGCGCGCGCGCGCGCGCACACACACACACACACACACACACACACACACACATACCTAAATTAATGCACAAAAGTCGGAAGTGAAAATACATTTAACGAGTCCAACATGTTCTTTTATGTAAATTTAAATTTATTTATCGTACATGTTTTTATTATTGTACATATTGCAAATTAATTGTAATTAATTTTTGTAAACTTTAAAACACTTACCTCCCCTTCCTAAAAGAACCTTATGTTATTATTTCACCCGCGACAAACTGTTCATTTACTTTTAAAAGTGTAGATTCCAAGTTCAATGACTGATATAGCCAAATGTAGATAATAAGTTGCGTGAGAAACATATATTTATGGTATTTTTCAAATGAAACTTCCTGATAAGTCTACAATTTTATTATAGTTTTAAGCCGCTACTTCTTTGAGTAGTTAGTCTATTATAAAAATGCAATAATGTACATCGAGCATTTTAACCCATAATTGTAAATAATGTATATTTTGAACCTCTTTTTTGTATTAGATTAAGTGAATAAATGTAATAATAACAAACTTTATATTGTTTATTTTATAAGAATTGTACCAGCTGAATTGTTCTCATCTTTATATTATCCAAAATACTATTGTAAATTAAATAATAAATCCTTTTAAAGGAATTTAGTTGAAAGGATGTGGTTTAAACCAAATATTAAAAGTTTAAAACTTGAAGGGTATTTTAACATATTTTATTGATTAAGAATAAAAATAATTATGTTCAATTATATGGATGTAATTGAATTTGTTATTTTGTATATGTTATTTTAAATTGTTGTTCATTGAAGCATCGTCATCCGTTATCATATTATTAATGTATATTGATACGTACGAATTAATTACGAATAAAATTAATATGAATTACACGAATTATATCAATAATTGTTTTAAATAAAATATATAAGCTGAATAGTTAATTACATATATTTTATGAATTTTTACATATTACAATGACATCATAAATGCAATATTATGTTTTATTAATAGGATAGTGTGGTAAATATAATTATTGGAGCTAATCTGTTGATAATCTACTGTTGTCTGATCTCTGGCGACCTCTTGGGACAAGTATTATAAGTATTTTTTTCAATGTTGGCAATGTAATTTTCTTTACATCCCAAAATCAGTATTAATATTATATTTCAATTAACAGCAATAATTTAATATTTAAACATTTATTAATTATTAAAAATACTAATTATACAGCATTCTCAATAAAAATTAATGATTACGTCTTTATTTTTAATATTAAAAATTCCACTGAAAAAATTAAATACTATTAAAAAAAAATGTCGATAATAGATTAAAAATAGGTTTATTTTGTTAAAGCGGTTATTCTTTTTCTTTCAGCAAAAGTATATTAATTTAAACACAATTGAACGGTGATTTATTAGCTTTCATAATAAATAATGAACATAAAATTACAAAATTTGGTATTTATTTTATTTTTTTTTTTTTAGGTAAATTAAACATTATCAAATATATCCGCAAACTTATATAGTATTTTAAATTTTATTTGGTGCGTTAAATTATAGCTGTGCACAAGCATTTTCTATGAATAGACATGGTATCTTTAGTTCATTCAGCTTGATGCAAATCGCACATATCGTAAAAAATAATCTTTTAACTACAGTATTAAACTATAAAAAAATAATTTTACAAATGACATACAAAAATATTTACAGTTATAAATCCAAAATATCACCCAAATAGACTTACGTTATGAATGTTGATGTAGTTATTTCAACTAAAAATAAATTTATAATGAAGAGAATATAAAATATGCAGTTATTGACATTAACAAACATTTATAAATGACACCAATTTAATGAAAACAAATAATTCCATTATATTTATATTTAATGCATGAATCAAAATTTAATCAAATAACTTATTTTTAATTTTCTGTTAAAGTAGTTAAAGTATCGGAAAATGAAATAAATATTGAATCAGTTTGAAATAATAATATATATCGGTGCACGTAAAAAGTTATACATTTATACATATACGATGTATTTATAATGCTATTTCAATCATTTTTTATATTGTAAAAAACTTTCTTGGAAAGAAAATAAATGTTTCAATCTTAAACAATTCAAATATTTATCATACAGAGAATACAAAGTAATAAACAATTCATACATTTTTTAATTAGCATTCTTTTTTTATATTTTAAAAAATTCATAAATACAATTTTAACAAAGTCTTGAAATAATTTAGTAGTTGCAATAGAATTTATTAAATTTCAATTATACTTATACTTATGACATTTTGTGTTTTCAAATATCACATTGATAAAAAATAGTTGCTATTCTTATAATTTTTATTCGTAAAAAATAAAAATATCATTTTTAATTGTAACTACTTTACTATTACATATCCGCGCCTTACTTGATATCCAACAGTCGTTCTTTATTTTAGTTCTTAATCAAGCTAAACATATTTGTGTTTGTATATTAAATATTGCGAATTTAAATTATATGTATATATAAATAAACACAGATATATTTATTCATACAAATAATTATTAAATAATTGCATAAAAATAATCTCAATATTCAAATAAATAATTTCTTCATAATAAACTGTCATGGTCACATTATAATTATTCATTTTCCATATATTATGCACGTCTAACTGAATTTAAACAATTTTACTGTTTTTGATTTTAACTTTAAAACTATTTATTAAAATGGAAACAATTAATTCCATGTGTTCCATGTTAATTCCATAGAATTATGCAATAAACAAACACTTCATTACTTTCAACATTCAATCAATATATTTTCCAAGCTTATGCTTATATGAACATAACTTACATAAATCTAAAATATATATTTAAAAAGAAAAATCAATTTTTAAATTAATATTTTTTATATAATTGTAATAGTTATAAAAATTGTAAATTACTTTAGTTCTTCAAAGTTGATGTCATTTTTCATGTCATTTTGACAATTAATTTTATTACATACTTTATTATGTATTATTAAGTATAAAGTCTAAAGAATAATTAATATAAAATTAAATTATTTTTAACGTTCATATTTTTAACTATCTTTGGTTACAGATACACAAAGAAAAATTGCTGTTTCAGTAATAACAATGTCTCATCTTTTGTTATATACATGCAAATTAGATTATCGAATACTTGAATTCTCATTCTTGATATATTTATTTATAATATAAAAGAACTAAGGAGACCTCGATTCATTTTAAAAACTATACTTCAACATGAATATTTAATTTTAAGAAAAGTAAAGTCAGGAGATATAGGATTTCTGTCTCAACATCGAGCCTCCAAAGGAAACAAAAAATATCCTTTCGCTTTTAGCGGCTTAGTCCCCTTTTGTAACCACAAATCAGCTAACGATGTTGCGTCTCTCCGCGAAAAGTGGTGTTCGAAAGCCGCGGGTGCTTACGTATGTGCGCACTACTTGGAACCAATAATAGGAGACCACTCGCCTCTCTTTCTCTCTCTCACTCTCTCTCTTTTCCACTCTGATCTCGACCAACCTTTTTGAATTTTTCCTAACGTAAAACAGTACGCAACGAGACATCCTTTAGTGCAGCTCGTACACAAGTTAAAGGCGACTACAGAGATGAACGAGAGTGATCTGCACTTGGCGAAGGCGATGGTCGATCTCGAGCAGAGTGGTCATACAGCCTCGAAGAAGACACCGGTGTCAGTAATGCAGGACAAACAACAAACCTTCAGGTAAGTTGAAAGCGCGGAGCGCTACTGACGTGATCAGTGCGTGCGCCGCGATAGTAGTATTGTACGACAATCGTGCAGGAAAAGGGGGGGCGAAGGGATGAATTTTAGTTCTAATATGGGGTGTGACGGATGATTTAAAATCTCTTACTGTCACTAAGATCTTATTTATTTGAATGAGAACAGGCGAATAAATCA